AGGCAGGCACACCATGTGGAAGGCAGTATTATTGCACCCCGTAATACGGAGAGCACAGAAATGCAGTGCTTGTTGTACCGTGATGTGTCAGTCAAACTGAAGTGAACTCAATGGGCTGGGGCTTGGGGTGGAGCCAAAACACCATTTAAGTGAAGCAGCTCATATTTAGGTCATGAAACACCTGGGTGATTGGCTGGAACTTTCCCTTTTCTACCAACCACACTGGGATCACATCTGTTCAAGGAATCCAGTTCACCAAAAAGTATGCTATGATAATTTTGGAAGTGAAAGAAATCTTTATAAATATCAAAAAAAAAAAAAGCATGGCCCTTTAAAAGAAGGAAAATATGGGTTTCAGAGATATACCAATTCACATTTATGAATGGAAACTAAGGATATGAAAGCGTAAATTGTTGTTATTATGTATTTTATTATATATACATATTATTAATAAATATTGTTATCGTATGTATTATTATTATAGTTTTATAATACATTGTCATTAGGAGAAACTGGGCATCTCTCTGAATCATGTTAGACCACACTAGGCATCCTGCATCGATCTCAGGATAGATTGAAATCAAGTGTGACCATCAGAGTGTCCACAGATGGGAAGCACTGTCTTATTCTAAACAAATTCATGTGTTTTTTTTTTTTCAGTAGAACTTTCAACAACCTTCTTCCTTACCATGTAAATTTGGGGTTCAGGGAGGAAATTTAGTTTATCAAGGGTGGCAGAGCCCATAGATGACACAGCAAGAATTCTAATCCTATCCATTCAAAACTAAGCCAAAAACTAAACAATATTAAAGAAAGTCCACATTTGTAGAAAATAGCAGTGTCTTTAAAATTATACTATGCACCTGTTATATGGGGGACAAATGTTAGAGCGTTTCCTATGTAGTTTGTGGCCACTTTTTAATTGACGAGCTTGGGCAGCTAGAGCATGGGCAAGTATGTATCCAGATACCAGAGTGCCCACCTGCTCTACCCAGAAAGGACTCAGAAAATGCTGGGGTTCTGCTTGGAAATTCAATTCATTAACATTAAAGATCCCAAAGCTGACCCATCCTGGAGCCCCATTCACCTTGTGAGGTACATCAGTGATTTATACATTGAGGACTTTATCTAACAGGACAGACACTCCACCTGTCCTACAAATACAACTGAAGTCAAGCCAGAGAGCATACGGAATCTTAGAGAGCAAGATTTGCTTATACACTCAGTGAAATCCTCTTAAATATTTGAAAAGCCTTTGTAAATTGGACGTATTTGACTTTTGAATAATGCTCAAGCTGACTGTGCAGGTTCAAATCCTAGCAAACCAAACTTCCCTTCACCCTTTTTGTAGATCTAATAAAGTCAATATGGAAATATGGAAAAGTTCAGCAACTCCCACCCCGTTCATACTCTTCACAGAGCTAATGCCATGAGTACTGTAACTTAAAACTACAGTTCTAAAAATCACCTCTACAATTTTAAGATGCATTTTTCTCATTGATTGTGTGTGTGTGTGTGTGTGTGTGTGTGTGTGTGTGTGTGTGTGTGCTTCACTTGCATTCAGATTCCTGCAGAAGCCAGAAGAGAACATCAGATGAGAACTCCTGGAACTGGAGTTACAGGCAGCTGTGAGCCACCCAATGCTTGTGGGTTCTGGGAACCAAATTTGAGCCCTCGGGAAAAGCAGTAAACACTCTTAACCACTGTGCCTTCTCTCCCGCCTCAGCTTCTGCATTAAAAAACAAATCATTATACGGGGTCACATAAATCCATTTGCATGCAACTATATGATGTACTTTGCACACATCACATCTTAAATTAAGTCAGCCTGACCGCATCTTTGACACACCAGAATCCCAAGCATTGAAAACACTGAGATTAACCTCAGTTTAACCACAAAATAATTAAGAGTATGGTATCAGTTCTACTTCATTATCCCCACTCATATCTCTTATTTTTCATGTGCCCATCTCACCGGGACCGGGTATGACATTAAGACTGAGGAAGTTGCTTTTAGACTCAGTCTTGTGTAGCCCAGGCTGGCCCTGACACCTATGTTTCCTGCGTTTGCCACCTCAGTATTGGGATTCCAGGCCTGAACTACATGCCTGGTGTATGTGGTACTAGGGAGAGAACAGAAGACACTCTAGGCAATCAGTCCACGCACCCACTAAGTGGCCTCACTGGTCCCTGCTTTCCCTTATTGACTATTATGGGTAATGTAGCTATGAACTGTGTTGTGCAAGTGTTTGGCTTTAATTCTTTTGGACGTAACCTAAGCATACTATATTCCAAAGCCAGGGAGTGCCATAGACTTAAGACACTCAGGCTGCCTGATCTATCCAACTCCAAAGGTCTAGATTCACAGCTTTCTCACTGAGATTGGCAGTGCCATTCTAACCTCCCAGCACTCTCTCTTCTTTTCACTCACGCACTCAGGTAGGTGGGCAATACACCCTCACCCCACTTCCTCCCTGGTTTGCCCACCAGTCTGCCCACAATATGCCATTCTTACCCACTAGATGCTACAGATTCTTATTTTCATCTCCAATGGTTCTTCGAATAACTCCCCAGGATGAATGCTTTTGTCATTCTGTGAGAACAAATAAAAGTTAGAGGTTTGGAGCCCCATTCAATTTGTGAGATATAATCAGTGATTTATACAACGTTGAGGGCTCTATCTAACAGGACAGTCACTCCACTGTCCTATAAACGTAAGTGAAATCAAGTAAGAGAATGTAAGGAATCTTAGAGAGCAAGATTTGCTCACAGACTCAGTTAAATCCACTTAAATATTTGAAATGCTTTTGTAAAATGCTGACCATGCAGGTTCAAACCCCAGCAAGCTAAACTTTCCTCCTGCTCAGGAGATGAAGTGCTTGAAACACAGCATGAGGATCTGAGTTCAGATCCCCAGCACCTGCATACGAGGCCTGCTGTGTCATCAGATAAGCCTACAACCCCAGCACTGGGCAGAGAGACCAGAGACAAGCAGATTCCCTGTAGCCCACAGGCCTACCCATCTAGCAGAACCAATGAGAGACCCTGAACCAGGTGTTCATTCTTTTGGGAGGGGGGAGCACCAACCAGCTCCCAAATCGTGACACGGAGACTTCTTATTAGTTATGAATGCTCCGCCTAGCTTGGGCTCATTTCTGGCTAGCTCTTTAACTTAAATTAACCTGCTTCTCTTCATCTACCTTTTGCCTTGAGGCTTTTTGCCCTTTTTTTCATTCTGTATATCTTTCTTCTACTGCTTCTCATGTCTGGCTGGCAGTGGCTGCTTAACTTGTTGCCCAGGCATGTCCCTCTCTTTCTTCCTTCTTTTCTTCTCCTTCTCTTGAGCCTAGAGTTCTTCTCCTATTTATTCCCTTGCCAGCCCCACCTACCCTTTCTCTACCTAGCTATTGGCCATTCAGCTCTTTTTTTCTTCCCCCCCGGAGCTGAGGACTGAATCCAGGGCCTTGTGCTTGCTAGGCAAGTGCTCTACCACTGAGCTAAATCCCCAGCCCCGGCATTCAGCTCTTTATTAGATCAATCGTGTGCCTTAGGCAGGGGAAAACAAATGCAACACATCTTTACATAAGTTTTTTTTTTTTTTTTTTTTTTTTGGTTTTTCGAGACAGGGTTTCTCTGTGTAGCTTTGCGCCTTTCCTGGATCTCGCGCTGTAGACCAGGCTGGCCTCGAACTCACAGAGATCCGCCTGCCTATCTTTACATAATTAAACACACATCCTCACATTGCTAAAACAAATGCAGCATAAGCAAATGTAACGCACCTTTAGACAGTTGAAGTAATATTCTGCAGCATAAACAAATATGACACATCTTTGTCCAGTTAAAATAATATTCCACGAGACCCTGTGTCAAAAGCTAAGGTAAGAGAGTAATGGAGGAAGACTCCAGTGCCAAGCTCTGGCCTCTACATGTGCACGTGTACACACACACACACACACACACACACACACACACACACACACACACACGCTCGCGCGCGCACGCACACACACGTACATACATACTCACACCCATACACAAATGAGTGCTACAGACTTGTCCACATATTAAACGCTTGATGCCTACTCTGCAACTCATCCAGTAACCACACAGTCAGACGCCCATATTGAATTCCCTCCTTTCCACTCAGTTTCACAGCTTCTCTTCTGTCTCAGTCTCTCTTCATCACCTGCATTCTCTCTCTGGCCTTCCTGGGATCGTGGTGCCCCTGACAGCTCTGTATTTAAAACCCCCTTTCTCAAAGTGAAAACCTGAGAGCTTGCTAAGCAGAGGGAGCGAATGAAACCTGGTGTGGAAGCTCAGGTGTCAGGAAGAAGAGGGGGTGACTCAAGGCCCCCTTGACAGGAATTCCAGCCACGCCCCCATGATCACCCATGCCCCGAGGTGGGACACTTAGTCATTTCCGCCTAGTCATTTCTGGGTCATACGTCCTACATAACCCATGCACTGCATGGTCACGTAAATCACTATACAGCGTGACCATGTGTATGCGCATGCGTGGGGTAGCCATGTGGGCCTGTATGTGCATGCAAGGGATGGTCCTTAAAAGGCAGATTCCATGTCCCCTCCCTCCTCGGTTTCACGTGTCCTTTCAGCAGACCTGAACACATCTATCCCTTTCTCCTTGTCTTAATAAAACTCTTGTTAGTGGGTTTCGTTGTGTTCCGTGACTTACGAGTGTCGCTAAAACCAACACCCCTAACATGAGAAACAAATACGTCCATGTGCCTCCACTCACCAGCTTGCATAGAGGCTTAGCGCTTCTCCTTTTCCTTAGAAAATTACAAGAAAAATAGCTTGGTTTAGTTTTATAGGACAGTGATGAATTCACACTGGACCATGGGCTGTTAATTTGGCCATGAAAATGTAATCAAAGGTTTATAAGGTTCAGAATGATTTTATCTTGCTCATGATAAATTGCCTTTTATTTAACACCCTATTTCTTTTTTTCTTTCTTTTTTTTCTTTTTTTCCTTCTTGCAGGCAGATTAGCTCAAAAGACTTTGGTAAGGTAAGTAGCTATTTTGTCTAACAAATTTTATGCATTATCTCTGTATAAAGCAAGATTCTGATCACTTTAGGCAGCAGGGAAAACAGGGGGCTGCCTACTTTCTTTATAATTTTATTTTATTTTTTATTTTTTTAATTTTTTTTGCCTTCCACTAGAACTTGGTATCATCTTAACAGCCAGGTTTACTTAAAACACATCTTACATTCTTACTATTTGCCATGGTCTTTTCCTATTTTTGTCTGAGCTGCAACTGAAGGCCATTTCTCCAATATGAAAGCCCATTAGGAAGGGCAAAGACCATGCTTGTGGGCACACTAAGCCCTTGCTTAGTTGTGTGGTGCAGAGAAGGATCTATTCCGGCGGAAACTGCAGGCTACCTGCCCTGACTCAAGTTCATGTGGAACTTCTAGTTCTCCACGTTGGCCCAGGCTGGGTCCCATGTAATCTTCACAAAGCCCTACCTAAGCCAGTGGCTCTCAGCCTTCCTAATGCTGGAACCCTTTAATACAGTTCCTCCTGTTTTGGTGACCCCCCCCCCAACCAAAAATTATTTTGTTGCTACTTCATTATGCTACTGTATGTAATGTAAATATCTGGTATGGGACCCCTAAGGGATCATGACTCACAGGTTGAGAACCACTGCCATAAGAACGCCTGGGGAGGAGCTGGCTGGTAGAGCTTCCCCAGCTGGCAGAAGATGGGGCCGTGCCCTTGGATCCCACCATTCTGATTTGCTCCTTACAGCTGTGGCTCGGCCTGAAAAAAACAGACACTGAAAATAAGTTTTTAAAGGTCAAAAAGGAAAGGAGGGGAGAGGGATAGAAAACATTTCTAGCTCACTTGACTATGTTTGCTAACAGAAAAAATAAACTTAAGTAGCACAGCTAGAGAGATTTCACTGTGCTTTTCTAATTGTATTTGATTTGGAGCCCTCAAGCAAAACAGTCAGCTGGGCTCCAACAAGATAAAGCAACGCCCTCCCTGAAGCAGGCTTCTCATGGTGTGTGCAGGTCTCCTTCCCCCTGCCTTTGACAAGCCTGAGAACTCCTGCCCCATCAGATTGAGCACTTTGAACTGCTGGGGAATGCTCAGTGGGAAGACTTTCAAACCACCCGTTTAGAATAGATTCATTACCCTTTATACCTGGCCTATGGATTCACTTTGATTTGCTATCCATAATACACATACCCTCATTCCAGAACCCCGGGGATGCTGAGGTCTTTAAAACAAAAAGGCCCTTCACTTAGCTTCAAACAAGACATAGGATGCCTCTCTAAGCAAACTGCTGCTAAGGGTTTCTTGTCTCCAAAGCCAACATGAATCAAGAGAGCTGGGCTCAAGGTCAGTTAGTCTCAGGGTAACTCTGGGAACCTGGTCACAGGTACCACCTTGTAACTTATCTGAAACAATGATCCCTAGATTTCACAATCCTTTGGATTTTTGATGAAAGGTATAATAAGCTTTCCTTATGCCCACAAAGGAAAGTACCATTTTATTTATAATCAGAACATTTTTATTACATGAGGTTCCCAAGCTAGATCAATGTATTTCCATCCCCCAAGTTAACGAATTTCTTGTCTCGCTGATTCCCCAGGACTTCCCAGCAGAGGCAATGTCTGGAATGGACTTGGGAAAATTATTTGTAGTGAAATGCTAATCTCACTGTAAAGCTCTCTGCTTCTTCAGAGTTTGAGGGTAGAGTCAGGCATGGAGGTATATACCTGCAATCCCATCACATAGGAGGCTGAGGCAGGAGGATTGACTGCTTAAGCTGAGACATGAAATACATACTGGGACTCATCACATTCAGGAAGTCTACCACTTCTGATCAAAGAAAGAGAAAGGAAATGTTTGGGAAGAGGAATAGCTGCATCTAAGAACAATAATGTATGCTCTGTTCATTTTTTTAAATGAAAATTTCAAAAACATAAAGTAATTACAGCCTCATACTCAAGCATGATCTCTCTTATTTCATAGTATTTCTTTGTATATTTAAAACAAGCCCCCACACAACCTGTGTATAGTGTATTCTTTTCTATTTCTCACACAGATATCTGCTATGTCTGCATAATATTTCAGTAACCAAGTATAACACCAAAAGGAACAATTCCTGTGTGTATGTGTGTGTGTATGTGTGTGTGTATACATATGTGTGTCTGGTGTATGTGTGTGTGCCTGCAGGTATATACGTGGGTGTGCAAGCCCATGTGTGTGCATGTGAAGGCCAGGGAAAGATATCAAGTGTCTTCCTCTGTTGCTCTCTGTCTTAGTCCCTTAAGATCTCTCAGAAACACTGCAGTCTGGCTGCACTTGCTTGCCAGGGGCTGCCAGGGTCACCTATCTCAGAGCCCTCCTTCTGCCTCGCTGCAGTTACAGGCATATGTGGCCATGCCCCACTGTTACATGAGTGATAGGGATTGGAACTCAGGTCCTCACACCTGGACAGAAAGCACTCTTAGCCACCAAGTGGCTCCCTCCCTGGCCCCTCAATGAGCCCTTCTTACTTACCTGGACCTGTAGACTATTTCCAAAGCCCTGGTACTGTAATGAACAATGTCATGCACGTCCTTGTATATGTAACTTGGCCAGATTTGGTTTCTTAGAAAATGAGTCTCACCAAGAGAGTTGTTCAAATAAGAATATTTTAAAGACTTGGATAACTATGTATGAGTGTGCAGTTCTCCAGTAGTCAAACCAACTTTTAACATCATCAGCCAACTATACATTTGTTACATCATATACAGAAGATAAAACCGTGGTTTTTACGTTGTCTTTTAGAAAACTATTTGCAGATCTCCTTAAAAGTCTGTACTAACAAAAAATTTCCCCCAAACTCTACTAACAAAATTCCCACTGCACACGGTTAATTTTCTGTTAAAATTTAGGTTAAATTTTCTGTTACCTGAAGTTATTCACCATTATCTTTTTTAATTCGATGCAGGTCCTTGGAGCAGAAGAAGGTAACTGCTTACGTTGGTTTTCTTACCCCAGTGCTATCACACTAGGTCTTGTGTCTAGATCTATAGGGTTAGCACTGTGTGGAAAGTGAGAGTTCGAAGCCTGGGATCTATAGGAGCATGCATGGTGAAGTCATCAGAAGAATGTAAGACTTCATAGACTATTCCAACATCCTCCTGTCTAAGGAGACTAATTAAAATCAGGACTAGGACAGTGTCTGTCTTTATCTACATGCATTAACCAAAAGAAGTCACACCTCTGCTGCTTGGAATATACGTTGCTGTCCCACTGTTCAGGAGAAGAACTTGATGTCTCTTTGAGACCAGTGTCACCCATGTGTGTACGCATGCCCTCATACACACAAATGCACACTGTTGGTGTTACTGATGTAGACACACACAACCCAAATCTTGTTAAACAGCAAGACACTGAGCAGTAATGTATCTTCATGCCTACCTTTAAAATACTGTTCCCCTTTAGTTTAAAATGATAAATTACTATTCAAAAGGCTGGTGTCATGGCCCAGAGAGTTATCAAGACACAACATGGGTCAATGAAGAAGCAGTGGATTGTAATTCTGAGACCTGTTTCCAACTTACCATGTGTCTTAGTTAGGTTTTCTACGGCCGTGATAAAACACTATGACCATAAACAACTTGAGGAGGAAAGGATTTATTTCAGCTTAAAACCCTCAGGTCACATTCTATTCCTGAGGGAAGTCAGGACAGGAACTCAACCAAGGCAGGACCTGGAGGCAGGAGCTGATGCAGAGGCCATGGGGGAGTGCTGCTTATTGGTTTTCTCCTTATGGCTTGCTCAGCCTGCTTTCTTATAACACCCAGGACCACCAGTCCAGGTAATGGCACTTCCCACAGTGAGCTGGGACCTCCCACATCAATCATTAATAAAGAAAATGCCCCCAAAGGTCAATCTTGTGGGGGGGGGGGGCTTTCTCAACTGAGGTTCCCTCTAGCTTCTGTCAAGTTGAAATGAAACCTTGTGTGTCCGAGTTGTATTTCCTCTGTGGATCTCAAGTTGGCTCTGCCCTATGCAGTGAAGACGTTAAAACACTTGGAAGAGGAGCCTACCCAGGTCTGTGAATTCCAAGGGCCCTGAGAGAGAACTGGGGACTTGTTAGCAACTGAAATAACTGTGAAACCAAATGAAATCTACAGTGACTCTTAATGTACTAAGACATCCGGGTAACCCTGCAATAGGGTTTGATGTAGTAATGTAACAGTGGGGCATTGTTATGCTCCCGAGGGGCAGATGCTCCAAGTGGCTATTGATTACAACAAGTGATTTTTTTATGGGTGTGTGATTAATGGACCTATCACTGACTCAAATGTCACTGCAAGTAATCACAGTCCATTCAATCAGAGGTGTCCAGTCTGTGGTCAACCTTGAGCAGAGCACAGAGTAACAACCCAAATTAAGAGAAGACAGCCAATGTGTGCATGCTTCCATGGCTTTTTTGTTCACCATCACAACTGGAATAGTGCTTTATGAGTCTCACATCAGAGTATATTCAATGTCCTTCATAAGTATCGATGGCTGGTTAAAAATCCATCAATGATGAAAAGTAGGAACAGTAATGGCATGCTAAGTAACTCCAGTGTGGAGGTATGACTGAACTTGATTCTTTTTTTCTATTGACTTCTGTTGCTGTGCTTAAACATTCTGGCCAAAACCAACTTGGCAGGGGGGCATTTAGCTCACACTTTAAGGTCATGGTCACTCATTGAGGCAAATCAGGGCAGGAAATCAAGGTAGGAACCTAGAGGCAAGAACCATGGAAGAATGCTGCTTGCTGACCCTCCCCCCACCTCCAGTCTTATGCTTAGCTAACATTTTTAGGTAGCCCAGGCACACCTCCCTGGTGTTGGTGCTGCCCACAGTGGGCTGAGCCCACCTGCATCAATTAATAATCAAGATAATCCCCCAATAACATGGATATCTGTTCTAGGCAACTGAAGGATGTGTAAAGTTAACAGTTAAGTTTATCTAAGACAATGATCAAGGAGAAAGCATTGAGAAAATGGATCCCTGTTTGTTCCCAGCTGGTAACTGCTGGCCTACATCAGAACCTTGGAAGCTCACCTGCTCTATCACAAGATGGGAATAAGAACACAAGTGGCTTGTGCAGGCAGTAGACATCCCTAAACCCTGCTGGCCCACAGTAGTCCTTTGGTTTAACACTCTCCTGATCAGGATGTCATTCACCAGTCAGCTCTCAGAAGGCCCTCATTAGCTACACAAGGTCAACCCTGTATCCTAAGGCATACTTTATTTTCTTTATGTCACCCATTCTGTCCAAAACTTCCTTCTTGCTCTGCTTGCTTGCCATCTTTTATTTAAGAACCACATACCTCTCTTCACTGTAACTCCATGTTCTAGCAGAGAACCTATTCTATAAGCATTACACAAAGACACGTTGAATTGTGTGAACAAACCAACAAACAAATGAATGGGTGTGTGGGTGCATGATAAAACCAAAGTCTTTTAAAAGTAATTCATCTATAATTACCCCTAAAATGCCTTCTGATGAAATATTCTGTCTGACTGGAAAAATCCAGTCATGTGCGCTCTAGATTGTAAACAATCTATGCAATTTTTACAGCCTCGAGAAAGTGGCACTCCTGGGACAGGGGGGAGCTGTGGACTGTATGAGTTTATAGTTTCCAAAAGCCCCCGTAATGATAATGAGAGTACTTAAATCACAGCCATCCCAGTATACTCCTGAAAGTCCCCAAGTGTATGCACTGTGCAATCTGACCCATGTATGTCATACTTTCCAGGATCTTATCACCAGACAAAGCCAGGACCTTCTTGCCCATCACAAAACCAAAACACTCAGAAGAGTCCACCTGACATCGCCAGGTAAGAAGGGAGGAACACCTGTTGGTACTCATGTTAGCAGACATGTACCCTCTTAGATCTTAGCTAGTGACTCACAAGACTTCCAAGAAACAGGAAATGTTAGACCGTCTGCTCTGAAGCCCAGTGATAGGTCTCAAGGAAAACAAGGACATTTCCATCTGCCACAGAATCTAATAATGTCTTTCTGCTATTTATTTTTTTTATTTATTTTTTTTTTTTTTTGGTTTTTCGAGACAGGGTTTCTCTGTGTAGCTTTGCGCCTTTCCTGGGACTCACTTGGTAGCCCAGGCTGGCCTCGAACTCACAGAGATCCACCTGGCTCTGCCTCCCGAGTGCTGGGATTAAAGGCGTGCGCCACCACCGCCCGGCCGTCTTTCTGCTATTTATAAATGATTGGATGTTACAGACAACTGAGAGGTGTGAAAACTTGAATATTAACTGAAAGGGGTGGATGCTGATCAATTTTTCAGGAAAAGTGGGTCATCTCTAGCTGTTCTCAGTTCACCACTGCATCAAAGCCCACAGACACACTCGGACAGTACAGTGTAGGTGAGCAGATGTTGAGAAAGCTTCTGTGATTGCATGATCAGTTGATTGTGACATCAACTTCACTGAGGAGCTGAAGAATCGAAGGTGATTCCTCGATCAAGGTCACTTGATAAAAATTAGTAGTGGCTTTCTCAAAATGTAGAGCTTGCATAGTTAGGACTCCGAGTTGCTGCTATGCAACCCTGGCTAAGGGCTGTGACCTCAGTTCCTAGCCCTCTCCCTTAGACATCACATCCTCATCAGATGCCCTCCAGCAACCACACTATCCCTCTCAGAAGTACATTTGCACATCTATTCTTCTGTCTACTTTCCCCATCGTTACTTCTCTTCCTATGTGGAAAACGTATTTCCACCCATCACACCCAAGGGTAGAGCCACACTGAATCCAGAATATTATTTCACTCAGTCTTCGGATGGTAAAAATGAAGTCCAGAGAGACAGAGTTCCTTGGCCACTGAAGTTAAGGGCGACTCCAAAGCCCAAGCCCCTGCCGCCATTAACAACTTGACTCTAACCACGCTGCCCAATAGTCATGGCTCTCCTTGTGCATGCCCATAGTTGAGATGGTGCCTTGATTTATAATATTTACTGGGAGTGTCTACATCAGTGGTAGAAGAGAAGGGCCGTGAGGTGGGAGCGACTGGACTCAGACTGACACATTACCACTGGTGAACAATGGATTTGGACTGGACAGTGTTGGTGTCTAAGCTTAAAACAGAGACAGGAACACAGCAAGAGCCTAGTAAATGGCAGTTCTCTGTATGATTGTTAGGCTGTGAACCTCGGATCATCACAAGCCCTACTTCCCTTCCCCTGCCTCATTTTTCAAGGTGTCCTGTTTTGTACCTTCAATAACTTCTCATTCTTTGACCTTCAGAGATTAGGACCATTGTTTTGTAGCCCTTAAGAGGCTATTTGCTGCTTAAGTCCCCATCTGACCCGATATTCTTTCTTACTGCAATTTTCAAGTAGAAGGGAAAATCACATTTGAGAAAAAGATAATAAGCTATTCCATCTGGCCTCTATCTGTGGTAGCTATTTGATGTGGTTTCACCTTGTTTGCTTGATTTATTACACAATGTCTAATTTTAATTGTTCTCTTAATTACCTACCTCTCCTAAGTCTCTTTCTTGGACTTTTCTCCCAGCACAGCCCTAAATGATGGTGGTACCTGAGTTCATCTTACAGGCACCTTCCTGTCAATGAAGGCCTGAATCTCATTTATCTCAGGGTCAAATACCCTCCTCATGTCAATGATTCCCAAGTTCCCTTCTCCTGATCACGCCCCCTTGCTTGCCTCCAGACCTGTGTTCAATTATTCAGTAGGCCCTTTCCCTTAGAGAGGTTCTCGGCATCACAAAATGATTGTGTTGGAATCTACTCTTATTTCCAATGCCATTCCCAAACTTTCCCACTCCTGTCGAGGAGCACCCTTTCCTAACTCAAAATTCTATCTCTAAAACATGTCTTGAATATACCCATTTCTCTGCGTAGCTCTTTGCAAAGAACAGCCCTCATCAACTCTTGCTTGGACTATTGCAATAGCCTTCTATTGACACCAAGAGCATCCATCCCATCCCATCCCATTCCATCCCTGTGGGATTACTTCCTGGGCTCTTGCAGAATAACCTATGGTTTCTCATCTCTGAGCCTTTCCACAGTGCTATCCCACCTTCCTTGAACATGCTTCCCCATCCTTTACAATCTGAGAAATTCCACATGTGTGACCTCTCACACCACAGCAGTTGACATGGTATATTTTTCCTGAGACAACTGTTGGGTCCATTAGGATTCTCCATCATCATGTCTTCCCTACATAAACTGCTCCCCACTAAAGCAGAGACCATGTCTCTCCTTCATTTCCTATTCCCCCAAACACAGGCTCATTTGAATGTGCTCGACACATGTGTTAGATGAGTCATCACTTTTATGTCAGTTTTAGAATTTTTGTCTATCCTTATGAACTTTGTTTTTGGTACCTAAAATATTCTGGAAGGGTACTCCACCTCTTTTAGCATTCCCCACAAATTCTTTAAAATCAAAGAAAATTTGTGGCTCATTTTTTTTCTCAGTCATTTAACAGAAATGATACATTGGCTCCTTGTAAGGGGATGTCAGTTTTAACAGTCAAGAGCTTGGATGTCGGTGGTGTAACCAGTGATGGTGGCACTGTCTGGTTCTCAGATAACCTGCAAGTATTTTCAATTATAAAGCCAGCTGTAAGGTCCTTGGGCTTCTGTGGGGACAAACAAAAAGCAGATATGCCTTCAGTTGGTTTCACTGGTGCTAGGAAAAGGTCACCTTGCTCTTAATTAGACCAGAGGCTTCTGTCAATAGCACAATCCTTGGGATATAGCATGGCTCGTGTAATTAGACAGACTTCTATTAGCACCTGGAGCTTACACTGACGTTGATTGTACCACGAAGTGAAGTAGAACATTAGAGTAAGGTGCAAAGTGCAGATGTGGGTGAGCAGGCCTGATCACACCACTTTTGTGATTAGAAATGCATATTGTTGTTTGGATGCCTTGTGTTCTATTTTCACAATTCCCTTTTGTGTGGCATTCTTTGGGATCCTCTGCATTCATTTATCATCCAGCTCACATTTTCAAAAGGTGTGAATTTCTATGCTTCTCTTCCTATCTATAGCTGACTCCAGCTGGTAGAAGTTCTATAGCATATGAGCTCTACAAACGGAGGCTCTTAGTCCTACCTCAACTTGACATGTCATACTTTGTTGATACCCATGTTAGGCCTACCCCTTTCTGATCAGAAACAGAAGAGTGGATGGGGGACCAAGGGGATGCAGGGGGGAGGGAATAAGGAGAGGAGGGAGTTGAAACTGTGGTCAGGATGTAAAATAAATGAAAAAAATTAATTAATAAAAAATAAATTAAAAAAAAGAATATGAGCCCCCAGATGCATCGATGTTAGTGTTCATGTGTGTAGCTACAAGGCAAGACCAGACTCAGTTTAACAAAGCAAAGAGTGCTGACATGTCCTCAGATGACAAGAGGAAACAGTATATACACCAGTCCCTTAGTGCCATGTCTCATGCTTGCCAGACTTGAGAGAGAAGAGGAAAAGCCAACCACCACTGTTTTAGAAAACGGACAATTCTTCAAGCAAGTTCAGTAAAATATTCATACTTCATAAATGTCACCTGAAGACGTTGCCATTAACTTTGCCCGTAAGTGGGATTTTGTCTGTCACAGGAATGCTAACATACCAATTCTGACATTTTCTTCAGCTCTTCCTACATGCCAGCAAAGCACACTGTACACGTCAGAGGTAAGGGGGCCGTAAGTAAGACTCGTGATCTAAACAGGTAAGCCAGAACTCTACGAGAGTCCTACACAGTGACTCTGATGTTTGTGAACTGGAGCCACTGACCTGAAGTGTACAGCTGTGATTGTCTCATTTTCACTGATTAATAGTGTTCCATTTCTGTTAAAGTTACATAACAACTTAATTTTTATTTGAGTCCATAATGAAATAATCCCCTTATAAGCATTAGTGTTACAAACCATAATATTGGCATTTTTCAGAAGTGCAATAGTTCCACTCTTTTGGAAACAGAACTATCTGGGTCTCAAGCTGTGTGTCTCTTTAGCTGCCTCAGATATATTTTTACAAAGTAGATGTAGCAGTTAGTTATTAAACTGATAAGAACATACTATTCCTGGTCTTCGCCAGAAGGGGGGTGGAGTCATCTATCAGTCACCAACAGTTCATGAGTACACTGTGCTCTCCATCGTCTCCAACAGCTGTAGACAATTTTCCCCAACACACTGGGTGTAATGCAGATTTATCTGAAGAAATAAAAATCTGTAAAATGACCCTAATAGCTTAAATGATCCCTCTTACTGATCGTGGCATAAAGGCAGAAAGCTAACATATCTCTGCATGAAGCAGAATAGAAACACAGCCCTGTGCCTACCAGGGGCTCAGCCTTGTCCATGCCACTTGTCTCAGCTACATCTGCCATGTGCATTTTTCCTTCTTGATTGCTGTGTGTGCCAGGGAAGTACTGTGTTCATGTCTCTCGGTTTAGCTAGAAAAGATTATCTGGGGCTGAGAACAGCCGGCTCCGTAGGGTACAATGGTGGAGGAGAGAGTGCCATTGTCCTGGTCCCAGCTCTGCCTTTCTCTCTTCAGCAGGGCCACTGAAGTCCGGTTAACCCTTTGAGCTTCACTCTTCCACGATAGAATGTAAATAAGAACTCATATATTAATAGCAGCACAATATACACACAGGCACACTCAGCCTTCTACTTGACACTCTCCTATTTTAATAGCCTTCCTTCTTTTCTTTGTCTCCCCATTTCCTCTTCCCCCAAATGACATCAGTGAGCCTCAAAGATATCTGACTGCTTCCCCTCATGCCTCATTTCATTTTTGTCCTACACTGAAACAACTAAGACCCAGATGATCAGTTTATTTTTTTCAAAGCATACAATGACAATGGGACTTTCTCCAAACAGAGATTCTGCCCCCACCTCCTTCTCAAATAGCTCAGGGTGGTCTTGAACTCACTCTGTAGCCTAAGCTGACTTTTAATTCCTGATCCTCCTGTCTCTACCTCCCAACTACCCAGAAACAAACCAAACATATTCAAGATTCTTTTTTCATTTGTAAGATAAGAATAATAACATCAGCTTCTATAGAGATGTGGACCTCCCTATCCTCTATGAATGCTCACCCTTAAGGCATCTGTATGAGTTCCAGTGTGGGGCTGAGTTCCACTAAACTGACAATCTATGAGTGCAAATGACTCATCGTCTCCTGCATATGACACTTTGCTAAGTCTGACAAATCAGAAATGAACTTCTACTCAGCAGAATGAATATTTGCTTAGTAAGCTGATGGAGAAGCATTGGTCAGTGGAGGGATGCTGTCTCTACTCTGCATCTTTAAAGAGTGGCCACATTTTTGGTACTGATCATGCATTTTGTGGGTGCCTGTTGATGGAAAGAGAAAATAACAGAGGCAAGATATCTCTTCTGTCCCCTCTGGGCTTTCATAAGAAGTCTAGCTTCTTCTGTGATGGGTTGAGGACACAAATAATGGACTAGACTCTGGGTGGTGGTGGTCATTCCCCAAACACTGTGGTTCCAGACACTCTTGCTTTGCTTTGTATCCAAACATGCTTTTATCTTTAAGATAGAGGCTCACCAATCTGCTCTGAGTTATGATTCTCTCTAATCTTGAAGCACACTTTCAAAAGTCACAAGTCAAGCCCTTTCTGGCCCTGTTCATCCCAGGCACTCTCCAGATGGATACTCCAAGCCGTCTCATCTTTATTGCCTAAATCTGACCTCCAGCACTCCCGTTGCTGACATTTGAGTCCTAGGGATGGAAGGAGGCTGTGAGTTAATCCCAGCTCTCTTTGACCACACAAGCCAGCTGCGTAGCATAACTGTACTACCAATTATTTAGCAAAGTGTCATATGCAGGAGACGATGAGTCATCTGCACTCATAGATTGTCAGTTTAGTGGAACTCAGCCCCACACTGGAACTCATACACATGCCTTAAGGGTGAGCATTCATAGAGGATAGTGAGGTCCACATCTCTATAGAAGCTGATGTCATTATTCTTATCTTACAAATGGAAAAAGAATCTTGGATATGTTTGGTTTGTTTCTGGGTGGTTCACTTACCAATAACACAATAGGCCCAATGTATTGATAAATTAATTCAAGCTAAACTATAAAGAATCCCAATAGGGGGCTGGAGAGATGGCTCAGAGGTTAAGAGCATTGACTGCTCTTTCAGAAGTATTGAGTTCAATTCCCAGCCACCACATGGTGGCTCACAGCCATCTGTAATGAGATCTGGTGCCCTCTTCTGGCCTGCAGACATACGTGCAGGCAGAACACTGTATACATAACAAATAAATAAATCTTAAAAAAAAAAAAAGCTGAATGGCTAGTAGCTAGGCAGGATTAAAAAAAAAAAAAAAAAAGAATCCCAGTAAATACAGCATGTGTGTATAAACTAGAAGAGAGTTCAGAAACATTATATGTCAAGTTAGTAAAATAATGTTCTTTAAATTTGGAAGTGTGGATGATTTTGTGTGTCTGTATTTAGTCTTGTTCTGTTTTCTTTTGGAAAACATACACATGGCCTTTTTTCCTATAAAGTTAAATTTTAATTATGTATAAACATAAGTTAAAATCTTCTGATAAGTACTGACATAATGCCTGATTTGAAACGCTGGACTGTAGGTGACAACAGAGGGATGTAAGGCTATCTCTCTGGTAATATTAACTGTGCTCACGCGTTAGCATCCATGAGCTGATAGCAAGGGTCAGAGTTTGTGCCGAGACATGTAGCTCCATAAGAAATCAAAAACATTAGAAAGTGGCCGCTGTGCATTTTCACCCCCAAACCATTTTTATCGGGTTGTTTTGCCTCTTGGGGTGTCAACTACTCACCCCCAAAACTCTTCTACTGACCTTTCGCCAATCTCTTCATTGCCGTCTCCCTCCATTTCCCAGGCTCTGTCCGTAAGAGAGATCAACCCCAAATGCAATATCTTATGTAGGAAGCTTCGGAAGCTTAGCTGCTTCATTCTGAGGGAGTAGAACCTATGATGTGGTGGGATACAGACAGCATGCTCAGAACTGTTCGTTTATCCATTCATCATCTGACACAGATCCAAGCCAGCGGCGTTCAGAAGATAATTATGTGGCAAATTTGCTGTTGTTTCATTTAACTAGTTCTGTGAGCAGACTACAAATGCATAATTATTTCCAAATGCTCTTTTTAAAAATAGGACTTTTTAAATATTTAAGCAAGGCATACGGGGTTGAACGATAATGAATCAGTTGCCATAATATCATAAAAATTTCATAATCTCTGAATTCTATCGGGTACAAAGTGAGTAATAAGAAACGCTGATAATGCTGATTTCCCCTCTCAGGTTTGTTCTTACTGCTTCGAGCCACGAAGGAAAAATAGTCACTGCCATTTAAATCAAACGCCCCCTGCATTCTGCTCCATGATAACTTAAAAGAAAGTTTTTAAGACAATGTTCTTCTCACAAAGAGAGGTGTGTAGGTTTGCTCTTAGGCCTGCAAGGCGCATGGTCCTCATCTTTTACATGTGATTTCTCTGTGTGCTCAGACTCTGGTTATGTGATCAGCACACCACTAGGTTTTTAAGCCAACTTGTGTCTGACTTTTAAGTGGTCTGTTTCCATGCTCATTTCCACATTTAATGTTTGCTGTGATTGCCAAAATTTGGGTCTACTTTTGTGTTATTTTGGGGACTCTTGGCTGCTCAACTTTTCACTAACTTTTTGGGTTCCTTCCTGCTTGTGTTAGGTCCATCTCTTCTTTATGCCCCATGTTTCCTCTGTGTCTGGGAGGTATAGTTCTCAAAAATAGTTCAGCATTATAGACTCTATACCATTTCAAGGTTAAGTTTTATTATTTATCAACTGAAATTTTAGGAGAAAAATCTTTTTTTAAATTATTTTTTAAAATGTTTTTTTCATTTTACGTACCAATCCCAGTTCTACCTCCCTCCCCTTCTCCCGCCCCCCCTCCACCTCCACTCATCCCACCCCCTATCTGCTCCTCAGAGAGTCAACAAAGTCTGGCATACTAAGTTGAGACAGGACCAAGCCCCTTCCCACTGTGTCCAGGCTGAGCAAGATGTCCCACCCTAGGGAATGTGTTCCAAAAAGCCATTTCATGCACCCAGGATAAGTCCTGGTCCAACTGCCAGGGGCTCCCCAAACAGATCTAGCCACATAACTGTCATCCACATTCAGAGGACCTAGTTTGGTCCCATGCATGTTTCCCAGCTGACAGGCCAGAGTCCATGAGCTCCCACCAGCTCTGGTCAGCTGTCTCTGCGGTTTGCCCCATCATGATCTTGACCTCACTTGCTCCTCTGATTCCCTCCTCCCTCTTTTCAGCTGAAGTCTGGGAGCTCAGCCCAGTGCTTGGTTGTGGATCACTGCATCTGCTTCTGTCAGTTACTGGATGTGGGTTCTATGATGACAATTAAGGTAGTCACTAATTTGATTATAGGGGAAGGTAAGTTCAGGCACCCTTACCCTCTCCACCATTGCTAGGAGTCGTACCTGCTGTCATCCTTGTGGATTCCTGGGGATTTTCCTAGCACCAGGTTTCTCCCTAACCCCCTGATGGTTCCCTCTATCAAGATATCTCTTTCACTGTACTCTCCCTCCCTCCACTCAGTTCCTACTGTTCCCATCCCCCACTCCTCCCCTTCTACCCCCCTCCCAGTTTACCCAGGAGATCGTAACTATTTTCTCTTCCTGAGGCCCTCTTAGGGTCCTCATTGTTACCCAGCTTCTCTGGGGTTGTGGATTATAGCCTGGTTATCCTTTGCTTTGCATCTAATATCCATTAAGAGTGAGTACACACTGTGTTTGTCTTTCTGGATCTGGGTTACCTCACTCAGGATGATTCTTCCTAGTTAGGAAGGAAATCTTTAGCTTCTTCTTGTTCTTAAGATCATAAATTGGGGGCTGGAGAGATGGGTCAGAGGTTAAGAGCACTGGCTGCTCTTCCAAAGGTCCTGAGTTCAATTCCCAGCAACCACATGGTGGCTCACAACCATCTATAATGAGATCTGGTGCCCTCTTCTGGCCTGCAGGATACATGCAGGCAGAATACTGTATAAATAATTAATAAATCTTAAAAAAAAATCATAAATTGGTGGGTGAAATTAATTTATTATTATAAATTCACTTAGATTCTACGTGATAGGTCTTCTGCTTAGACCTTGGTAGTCCCAGCTTCTCAGCAAGAAAACTGCAAATGCAAGGCTTTCCTGGAATACAGGGTAAGCTCACAGCCAACCTATGCAACTTAGTAAGCCCCCATTTCAGAAAAACAGAAAAGAAAACTAAAGTGTTCTACACTGTTCTAGGAACATAACCCAGTGGTCAATCACTTTCTTAGCATGCACGAGGCCCTGGGTCCAATTCCCATTTAAAAAAAAAAAAAGCGAACACACACATTCTTAGGCTCAATAAAAACCATAATCACTGGCACAATTAAAATAGAACTTTCAAGATATCAGGAATACTGTTTGTTCTTAGTAAATATTTGCCAAAACTTCATTTCATCTAAACCAAGTTTTGGGTCTAAAGCAGCCCACACTCCTGAGGTTCTTGCTCAGCTGCTAACCAGGATGACAGCTTGGTCATAGGTCTAAGACTAAGGGATGCTTTATGCTTCCAATGCTGACCTGATGAGAATCACCTCACTTCCAGTTTATATGTGTTCTTCCCCCACCCCTCCCCTCAATGGAACCTCACTATTTAGCCCAGGGTGCCTGGAGCTTTTTAGGTACACCAGGCTGGCCTCAAACTCAAAGAGAAATCTGCCTAGCTCTGCCTTCTGAGTGCTGGGATTAAAGGTGCATGCCACCATACCTGGTTTACATGTTCATTTTTGTCTGGTATTTTACTTACACTTTGTTTGTATACTCTTATGATTTTGTGATTTTTTTTTTTAGGTATTCCTAGCTTAAATTACTAAGATATTCACAGATGTCTTGGCTGTGCCTGGCTTACCTCCTGATACCACACATCATCTTTCCAACCTAAATGTCAAAAACCCCATCCTTGATTTCTGTTTACAAGAATAACATGTGTTGGAAATGCTTCATTTTGGTTGAAGGATGTAGAGAAAACACCGTATCAAAATATGACAAATGGTGGTATTTTAATGCTCAGGTGCCAGGTGAAACAATAACTTTCTATATTCTGTAAAATTGACTGGCTTATTTTGCCTCTCAATTCACTTCTTACCCGGGCATGGCAAATTGCAGCATCAAAACATTGGTCAGTTAGAAATAATGGTTCTCAGACATGATCTAGACTTCCAGTGCTAACATATGTATGAACCACCTTTTTTCCCTCTCTAACAAATTTCTCGAGGTAAAAACAACCTAAAGGAGCTAAGATTTCCTTTGACTTGAAACTTCCAGTTCATGATTGCTGGACTCCATCACTTTGGGGGCTGAGGCAAAGTCAAACATCACACAGTATGTGACAGAGCAAAGCAGAAAGAATGAGAAACAGAGTCCAGGGATAAGATAAATCCCTCAAAGGCATGCTCCCTGTGACCCAATTGCTCCAACTAGGACCCACTTCTTAACGATCTATGAACTCATCAGTAGATTAACCCACGAAGAGGTCAGAGCCCTCATGGACCAATCACCTCCTGACAGTACTACCATGTGGGGATCAATCCTGCGATGCACACCCTAGTCATAGACAACATAACAACATGTTTGTGTCAGTCAGATTTGCCACGGTGTGACAGGACATTTGTGCTGATGCTTTCAGTCTCTATCCATGGCTGCCTGGCCCTGTGCTTTGGCCCTATGATGCAGCAGAGCATCGTGGTACGGAGTGTGCAATGGAACAAGGCTACTCCTTTCCAGTGTGGGACCCCAATATCCCCTTCAAGAGCACATCCCCACTGATTGAATTTCCTCCAACTAGGGTTCATCTCCTAAAATACCTACCACCTCTCAAGAGCATCCCTTGCTATGGATCAAATCTTCAACACACATGCTTTGGGGATCCAGTTACTATTCCAATCACAACAATGTGTCATTGCATAATATAATTATATTTGCAAGTAGCACCACCAATCTCACGAGAAAAGTCTATCAGGATACTATTGTGTTAGATACAAATTTCCCAGCTTCCAACTTGCACCTTCGTGGTTTAAATGTATGACTGGCAGCAAATACTATCCCCTTGTGTTCCATGAAATGACAAGCTTGCTTTCTTTATTCTAAATAAAATATCTGCCAAGTATCCAAGTCTGAATTACCATGGTTTCTCTATCAGCTGCTCTTGCAGGTTAAAAAGAAATGATACTTTGGTTTTCTTAGCTTACACTTGGACTTTCTTAATGGCATTTCCCAACCTAGCAATGATCATGGTAGGTTTAAGAAACTGAGCAGAGTTCATTATGGCCTGGATGAAGTGGGTAATGTGGGAAGGATGAGGCAAGGATGAAGACATAAGAAGATATGGAATTTGGAGCCTTAAAAACAGCAGAGAGGGGGATGGAGAGGTGGCTCAATGGTTAACAACATTAGCTGCTCTTCAGAGGACTCAGGTTCAATTCCCAGCACCCACATGGCAGCTCACAACTGTCTTGTAACTCGAGTTCCAAGGAATCTAACATCCTCACACAGACAATGCGCCTAAAGTAAAGATACATTATTATTATTATGGTAGTTTTTCCAGACAGAGTTCCTCTGTAGCCTTGGCTGTCCTGGAACTCACATAGATCCTCCTGCCTCTGTTTCCCAAATGCTGGGATTAAAGCTATGCAGCATCACACCCAGCTAAATAAATTATTTAAACAAACAAACAAAAATAGATGAGAGACTTTATTTGTGGATTAGCAATCATGGAAGGATTTTTAGCCAGGATGAGTAGCTACATCACAGTTACATTTCTCTCTCTCTCTCTCTCTCTCTCTCTCTCTCTCTCTCTCTCTCTCTCTCTCTGCATTTGTGTGTGTGTGTGTGTGTGTGTGTGTGTGTGTGTGTGTGTGTGTGTGTGTGTGTGTGTGTGTGTGTGTATGTGTATGTAGGCCCACACAGAGGTCAAAAGAGAACTTTGGGTTTTGGTCCTCACCTTTCACCCTATTTGAGACAGGGTCTTTGAGGATTTTTTGTTTGTTTTGTTTTCTAGTGTAGTCTGCCAGGTTAGCTGGCCTGCAAGCTTCTGGAGATTCTCCTGTCTCTGTCTGCCATTTCCCTGTAGGAATGCTTGGATTCCAGCTGCTCACTAGCATCTGGCCTTTTCATTGGTTCTGAGGATTTGAACACACTTGTGAGGCAAACACTTCTTACCCACTGAGGCATCTCCCCACAATTACACACAATTACAGTTTTGGAAAATTACTCCAGGTTCCCAGTGGAGAGAGAGTGGGCAGGGTGAATGTAGAAGCAAGGGAATAATTCAGAGGGCATTGCAGTCCATGGTGAGAGGGTGTTGTCTAGACCACAAAGACGGCCAAAGACTGGCAGAAGTGATGGGCCCATCTTCCTGTTGGAGGGAGAAAAACCTAGACAGCAATGTGATCTCATTTCAATGCAATCTCTTCCTAGACCATACAGGCATCATGCAACACCGTCCTCAGAGATGCCAAGCTGCAGCCAGCCCCAGCCCTCATGATCGTGTGCTGCCCTATGAAAACACAAACACGGAGAAACCTGTCCCCACCAAGCCTGATGAAAAGGTGAGGTGGGAACTTCTCTGCAAGCCCTTCTCACTGTCCTTGGCATCCAGTGAGAGCTTTCTGGGAAAGCTCAGAGCAGATCATTGCGGTTGCCATTAATTAGTTCCCGATACAATGACAAATCAGTGGGTTTTAATGTTTCTAAAACGCTTTGTTGTCTCATATGGCCTTACTCTTTGACCAGATTTTTAACTCGTGTGTTTTGCAGATTCTCAGAATGTTCTGTTCATTAACTCCAGAGGGTGGGAGGGTGGGGCTGACAGAGATTTAGACTTGTATTTGTGAAGTCTCATGGATAATTAACTGGAATTTGAATACTAGGATTTGTTGTCCATTGAAAGATTTCCAGGTCACATTTCAACTTCAGTTGAGCCCGGGCAGCCGTTTCCTGAGCATTGATTGTATCTGTCAGACATCGTGAGGAGTCCAGATCCCTGACACAAAAGAGAGCTAGAAACGGCTAAGAAGTGGCTTTGTCTTCATTTGTTTCGTGGTCTCTCCTGATAATCAGCTCCTTTCACACAATCACTTCTCAGCCATTCTTACACTCATGTTTTTCTCTAAGGAGAGTGAGCTTTCTTTGTGGGATCTCTGATCAATTCCTTGTAATTCCTATAGTATCTCACATTTCTCTGCTTGGCCTTATAATTAATCCCTACCTAATTCTCTAAGGGCTTCCCAATCTTCCAATGGGCTCTGGAATATTCTTTCATTTTCCCTTCACATGGACCTGAATGTTTTTCACTCTGCCACTTTTATAAGCCTTAGGATTCTTGAACTCTAAGTCAATGTCCATGTAAGACCGAACTCTTCCCAGAGCCTGAGTTCCAAAGGCATGAGAGAAGCTTGGACTAGATCAGGATGTTCCTGTTTTCAACAGTTCAACAAATCTTATGACTTGTGACAGATCTCAATCCTCTCAATATGTAATGTCTGTGTAATATTTGGTAAATTGGCTGCTTTCACTTTCCTTTGCTATGTTAATAATTTTTTTCAAGCAGTATTCCAGAGCAGACAAAGAATAAACTAGAAGTCAATGACCACATTCTACTACTGGGCATATCCCCAAGAGAACGGAAAGCAGAACCCAACAGGATTTGAACACGTTTATAACATTATTTATGATAGTCAAAAGGCAGGAAGAACACAGGTGTCCATTCACAGACAGAGATAAACATCACACACAAACACAGGCTTGCACACACACACACACACACAAAGCATCTCAAATAGAAAAAAATATATCTGGCATGTTCTACAAGTGTAAACTTCAAAAGCATGGCACTAGGTGAAGGAAGACAGACATAAAGGACAAGCATTTACCTCCTACTATTCATGGTTCCTAGAGCAGCCAGGTCTATAGAGACATCTGGTAGCAATATGGCTCCCCAGGACTGGGAAGGAGAAGGCAGTAATGGAGAACTGTTGTTTAGTGGGCACAACATTTCAGTTTGAGAAGATGGGAAATTCTTGGAAATGGATAATGGTGATGGTTTTAAAGCAATATAAATGCACTTAACGAGATGAGTTGAATACTCAAAAGTGGCTAAAATGGTGACTCGTTATACTGTGTATATTGTGTTGTGCTTTTTAAAAGGCAAAGCAGGATCCTACAGCTTGCTAAAGGTTCCCAGAGCAAGGGTCCCATGTCTTCTGTTGAGGGATGACTAGAAATGTCGGCACTGTTAATGCTACACTAACGCTAAGCACAGTGCTCTGCAGTCACTCAGAGGACCTGAAAGAACTAAACATGAGCTTGGCTCCTCCTCATTTTTACTCAGAAGCCACCAAGGGCTTCGCTCAAGCACTAGTCTACATCCTACACCCCTCATAACCACATCTTGAAATAGTCTAAGATATCCCAAGCTGCCACATCTAAGGCAGTGGTCCTCAACCTGTGGGTCATGACCCCTTTGGGGAATCAGATATCAGCTATCCTGTATATCACATAACAACTCATAACAGCCACAAAATTACAGCTATGAAGTAGCAACAAAATAATTTTATGGTTGGGGGGGTCACCCCAGCATAAGGAACTGTATTAAAGGGTTGAAGCATTAGGAAGGTTGAGAACCACTGCTCTAAGGCATCTTCCAGCTTAAAGGAACAAATCAGAGTAAATGAAACTCACCACAGCTGAGCCTGCCCAAGCCTGGAGACTAACCAGGAGCCCCAGAGCCACCACTATAGTGACCAAAGTGAAAGGAAGGCTCCCACACTAGCGGGAGGTGAGGTCTCAGACACTTTCTTACCAGGAGCCTGCCTGGGCTTTGCCTAGGGCAGAGCCGTGACCCTCCCAGCCCTGATTATCCCCTCAAGCTGAGGAGCTTGTTACAAAAGGGCCTCACACAAGATCAGAATTTTTGTTTCAATTTTTGTCTATGTGTACAAAACCAAAGAATTACTTAAGATATTATTTACATGCAACAAATATCAGAAATTTCAAGTATTATATACAGCCCCACGGCTTTTGACAAATGAAAATACCAGGCTGGCCACTGTCCTTTTCCACTCTACCCCAATTCCCATCCTGCTTCTATGAAACCCGTCCTCCTCCGGCTCCTGACAGCAACTCTCTAATGTCTGTGTCCTTCCTAGAAACCCTCTAAACAGAGAGTGGCGTTTTGGTTCCCGGCTTTGTTTCCCTGAGCACAATGCTTTTGAGACTCACCGCTGTGGTCGCCTGTATCCTGTTTCCCTTTCATCCTGTATTGCACTCTTAATGGAGGAGAGTGACTGAGTTGAACAGCAGAGACTATAAGAAGGACTTTAAGACAATAAGCCCGGGGTAGCTGGTGTGTCTGAGTTGGAATAGTAAACATGTCTAACTGGCCAGGCCCACAACCTGAGGGCATGGAAGGAAGTGCAGGTGCAGTCAGGTAGGAGCCGTACATGCTGGCCAGATGGCATTCACCTGTGCCCATCATGGATGGCTATGTTGGTGCTGGGAAGACCAGAGTCTGCACTGGGAGGCCACAGACTTGATGTCATGTCCCTGATTCTTGCCAACCATGTGGCAGATTTTGACCCTCCCCCCCTCCCCCGGTCTCTGCTACCTATCTCCAATTAGAATGAGCACTGTCCATCATGCATGGTCCAGAGCAACAGTGCAGGGGAGGTTTGAGATACTGAATAAGGAAGGGTCTTGGAGAAAGATGACTCACCACTGTGACCCCGAGAACTCAATGAAGAGACTGAAGGACCATGCTGCCATGGGCACACATGCAATGCCAGAGCATTGATGAAAACCCCTGCATCCTTCTGCCCTGTCAGAATTCACTGAGTAACATTGACGGAGGGGGGGCTTATGCTTCCTGAGACCCAAATGATGGACTTTGCCTAACCGATGGGCAGTTTCTGGCCACTCCCAAGGACCACTCTTTTGATTCCTATCAACCCAAGAATCCCCAGCTGCACTCGCTTATGCCATGTCTATCTTCTCCCAGCATCAGTAGGTATTTCCAGGTTCCAGATCAAAGTGCTCTATGCTGAATATCTATCATTAGTCTGTGATTGGACACTGGTGGAACAAAAGTAAAATTTGAATTAATTAGTCCATAATGAATACACATTTCTTTGATGCTAAAATATTCCTCATTGGACTTGTACCATAGGATGTCCAGCAGAATGAATGGTACATTGGAGAATACAGTCGCCAGGCAGTGGAAGAGGTGCTGAGGAGAGAGAACAAGGTAATGCCTCTACATTGTTCCTGTGGCCGTTGTGTGTATTTCTACATGAAGTAGGGAAGGGACTTGGGATGAAGAGGTTCTATGGAAGAGGAAAGGGGTGAGAAAGAATAATGGGGTACAATTTCTGGTTATTTCAGGGAAAGATTTGATGGAAGAACACTAAATATACAGATGAAATTGTGGAGTAATTTTCTTAAAATACAGAAATATTTAAAATGGCCTCAGACCTAAGACTTGGTTTTGTCATTTATCAGAGATGTGACTTTCCCAAGTTCCTAAACAAGGTTAGCTGTTGATTCCTTATTCATAAAATGAAAATCAGCTTTTAAAGATATCAATGCTAAGGGAGCCACTGGAAAACCACGTAGGGTATCTGGGGTGCAGTGGTCACAATGAGCAGTGCCTCCCTCTGCTCTCTTCCAAGTTCATCTCCTTCCTAAATGTGTGCCTAGGGAACAATTGGGTCTTTATAGCTCACTTCTTCAGGAGAGGAGCAGGGATCACAAATAGGGATCATGAATACTTTGATCCAGCATATGACAGGTCATGCTGCTACAACAGATACCCCCAAGATCTCCATCATTTATCACATGATACTATTTCTTCACCGCGCATCAGATTCAAGATAGACTTGTTAGGTCTATGTGAGGCCCTGTACCCACAGTATACCAGCTTCCACCTTCCCACTCTGGCTCCCCATACATCTCCCCAGGAGTACATACTTTACCTTTTCTTTGACCAAATTCCAAGACCAAAGCAAATTTCAAAGGGAATATGGGTTTCAGCCTACCATGTGACCAAAAGGACAGAAGAACTCAAATGACTGCCACAGCCTTCATCACAAAGCAAGTGACTATGGGTGACTACTTTATTAGGTACAGAACTATGCTGGGGTACTTAGAAATAACAGAAAGCTTCTGTGGCTTAAGGACACTAGATCCTCAGCCAGACCACTGCTGAATGTAAAAACACAATATGAATGCGTCAGTTAAGTAGTGAATAAATTATAGGTCTCCAACACATTTAAGAAAATTCAGAATTGATGTAAAAAATTTAATTATTCATCAGTGGCTATGATAAACGGAATCATGGCCATTCTCTACCCCACTTACAATGATGTCCATGGCCTAAATCCTAGAACCTGTGAATGAATCACTTTATATAGAAAGGGGACTTAGCAGATTAATTAAGTTTGGGGTTAAGATGGGAAGGTTATCCTGAGTCAGGTAGCCCCTTGTGATTCCCAACAAGAGGGAAGCAGGGATGTCATGGAACATATGTGATTATGGAAGGAGAGGTCAGAATGGTGGGGGCACAAAGAGCAAGGACTTCTGGTGACCTCTAGGGACTATCAGAGTCACAGACACAGACTCCATCCCCCCACACTAGCTCTAGCTCTGTGAGAACCACATTGGACTTTTGAGCTCCAAAATGATACAAGAATGACTTCACTTTTAAGTCACTGATTTCATGTTAGTTTGTTAACGCTAGCAGTAAAGACAAAGAAGACTGCCAGCAAACCACCATGACCTACCCGTAATAAGTGGAACTATCCCGTTCCATAGGTGGGGAGGCTGAAGCCAAGGTCCTAGTTACAGCAAAGAGATTAGTACCCATTTCACCATGTCTCAGCTGCTTCCAGCTACCATGGCAGTTCTCTGCAGTAGGATGGAGACTGAGGGTGATTGGCTGGCCCTAGGATCTCTAACCCTTTCCTCTGTCATGGCCTCAGACGTGCTGGCCTCTGATATCATAGGATGGGGCACGGTGATGGTAGACCTCAGGCAAGGCTTCCCTTTTTGGGTAGTTATCACCCAATGCACTACTACATTCACATAGTTGGGCTTTCACCAGAAAACCATCTTAGAGGACCCAGATGCAGAAGCCCACATGTGAACTGTGCTGGGCGAGCAACACACAGGCCACCTGGCATCCCTGTGGCAGGTGCTCTTCAAATGTTCCCTCCCTCCCTGTGTGCCTCTGCTGCCTCCTCTTAAGACACAGAATAACACTGTGAAAGCTGAACAACTGTGTTTTCCTTTTCTGTTTGCATCAGTCTTGTCAGGATGCGTTTCCCATTTATGAGAGATAATTTAATTTAAACGAGAGATTTCCCAGATTTATTTTGACAAGTGCATTGCAGAGTTTAAGAAGATAAAACCCAGTTTGGCCCTAATTCTTGGCCTCCATCCGCCTTCCTTCTCTCTGGCAGTGTTCTGTGCTGGAGATGTAAGCCTTTGCTTCTGAATGAATGCTTTAGGCAGAGAAAGGTGCAGCTGATTCCTCATCACCCTTGATGAAGCAGGAGTAGGCATGCTTAAAGAGTTAGACTTCAAGTTGGACTTTCAGGTTTATCATTTGCTAACTGTCCAACCACTGGCCACATGTGACCAAGAACAGCTATGAATGCAGGCCAGCATACAATTATTAATTTACTAAAAATGTTATGAGACAATTTTTGTAACTTTTTAAAAGGATTTATTTGTATTATTTTTATTCAAATGTGTGTGCGTGCGCGCGCGCACACACATATGTGTGTGGGGGTGCTCACAGAGACTAGAAAAGCATGTTGGATCCCTCAGAGATAGGCATGCTTTTGTGAGCTGCCTGATATGGGTGCTGGGAAATGAACTAGGTTCTTGTGATAGAGCAGCAAGACCTCTTAATGGCTGAGCCATCTTTCCAGCCATTTTTTTCCTTTGAAATTTTGACTGCTCATTTCTCAAGCAAGAACTTTGTAGATGACAGCCTCACATCCAGTCTCAATGGTGGACACACCTAAGCCTGGGAGATTTGCTTAGGCTCAGAAGCCAAACCTCTGTATCTGTAAATGGGGGTAAAAGTCTTTCCTCAAGATTTATGTAAAGACCAGATGAAATAAAGCATGCAAGATGCTGGTCACCTCAAGGCAGCTCAAGTAGACTTCGAATGCCCATATCATTATAATATATGCACAAAATAATAATGCTATTCTTGAATTTACTGTTTGTTAAAGAAACATACTGCATGACATGGTATTTTATATATTGATATCTTATTATAGATTATATTATAGATTAGTTATCAGTATCACATGCAATCTGTATAAATAACTATATAATGATTAGAATTATAAATCACAATACATACTGTCTACATCTATGCTATTTTTATGACATTTATCATCATCTACACACATTTATAGTTGCAAGCTTTCAGTAACCTCCAGCATGTGGATGACACAGCATAATCCCATGAAGTGGGTTCATGGAAAGCCCCCCTTGCAACTTCACACCTTCATCTTGAGTGACTTCCTCCAGTGTGGCTGATTACTTCTGTCCCATGCCCTGTTCTCAGCCCTTGGTCTCTTTGGTCCTGTTGATCTTTTGCATACTTTTGCTGCCCACCCCGTGGCCTCAGACACTGAAGATTCTTGCACCTTTCCTATCTCCTCTCCCTTGCCTTGCCCTTGCCTTGACCTCACTACAGGCTTTATTTCCTGCTCCCTCTCTCTACTCATTTTCACATCAGTCTCTGCAAAGCCCCATCCCTCTTTTGGGAAATCTGATCCTGCATTGAAATCTCTCCTACACAGGTATCTAATTTCTTGAGCTAAGATCTTTGCATGGTCCGTGACAGATTCCATTCCTCTCTAGAATAAAATTTGACCTCCAGGATGAACAGGAAACATGTGAACAGTGACAGGTGCAGAGGGACACACCAAAGAGAGAGAAGGAGGACCTCCCTGTGCAGAAAGGGGCCAGTATGCAACAGATAAGAAACCCAGAGCAGGTGTCCATTCAGAAAGTGGTAGCCTGGCTGGAGTCAGGAGATGGGGACAGGAAATCAAACAAAGGACTGGTTGGTGAATCTACTATGAAAGTCCCATTAAGATTGTAAGAAGTATCAGAGAGTAGAGGAAGATTTGAAAGATGGAAGCACCATCATGCATCTGGTACACTCTCAGAAGGCAGTAAAAAAAATCTTATCCATGCAGACACTGTGTCAGCCATTGCTGTCCAAGAGACCCGAGAAAACTTTAAGAAGGAAGAGTTTCTTTGGGCTCCAGGTTTCAACCCCTGGTAGGCTGATCCCATTGCTTTTAGGTCTGTGGCAAAGCAGAAGCACTATGGATGAAGGGCTGCCCACCTCACAGTAGCCAGGAAGCAGAGAGAAAAGAAGATCAAGATGTATTTTTCAACCCCCCCCACACACACACACACAATGGCCTACTTCCTATGACTAAGGGACACCTCCAAATAGCCCATTCAGCTTTGAACTCACCAATGGGTTAACCTCATGATGTTAGCACTTTCATAAACCAACTGCCTCCCTGTAACACCACCAGTTAACACATGAGCCTCTTGAGGGGACACTTCATATCCAAACACGAACAGGAACTCAGGAAAAGCTCACTGAGTTAAATGAAATGTGAAGCTGGACCACCAAAAACTAAATCCATTTAGGAATCTCACAAAAGCATCATTGTTGACATTGCCTTAAGGCCAGGGTTCCAGAACACCTGAGAAGATAACCATAACTCCTTTTGCTTCAGGATGGTACCTTTTTGGTCCGAGATTGTTCCACAAAATCCAAGGCAGAACCCTATGTTTTGATGGTGTTTCACAGAAACAAAGTCTACAATGTGAAAATTCGTTTCCTAGAGAGCAATCAGCAGTATGCTCTGGGGACAGGACTCAGAGGAAATGAGGTAGGTGCAGTCCAACCACTTCCCTTACCTTGGCTATAAGTAAAAAAGAAAAAGAGAGTTTGGGAGATGCTAGATGCATGTCTACGTACTCCAGCGAACACAGGACAATACTGAAAAGACACTGCAATGATACCCACCCAGCCCCGTTCATGAACATCCTGGCACATGTTGTGTTGTGTGCAGTTTACCAGGCCAGCAGCCTACAATGCCACTGAATGTCCTCCATCCTCCTAAAGTTATTAGAGAAACCCATTCAGAAAGAAGCAACTGCATTCTGCCTTGTGGAGAACTTCCCTTAGACCATGCTGATACTCCATTCTCCCCCTCCCTGCCAGGTATTTCTGAAGTCCAGTGTCATTCATTTACCCACAGGATTGGGTCCTCAAAATGAGTGTGCATTCAACAGTAGCATTTGGTGCTAAGCTGAGGTCCCCTTCTCAGTAGAGGTGTGCTGATGGGAGGCCCTCTACTGACAAATCTGTCAGTTGCTGTGCCTAATAGCACAGACCAATCATCCCACTTGAGAGACTGAAGCAGGAAGATTGCCAAGACTAGCCTAGGCAACTTAGTGTGACCCTGTCTTCAAATAAAAGGTACAAATAGAGTTGAGGATGGAGCTCAGGGGTAAAGTGCTTGCCTAGCACATGTGAGACCCTAAATTCAATCTATAACACTACAAAAAAAAATCACCCAAACATCAATAAATAACTATATAAACTGATCAAAAGGAGATGTTTCAACTGAATACATATTCCAGGTCTGTTCTGTGGACATCGTCCTATTTCAATCCTCAACAACTCTTTGATGTGATCGTTCCTATCTCAGAGTTACAAAAGCTGAGTCCTAGAAAATTAAGTAAATGGTCAAAGATGGGAGCAATAAGCAGGGGGGTAAGCAAAGGCTGTATGCCCAGGCTTTCTTTGATGAAAAATAAGAGAGAAAATGGGGAAGAAGGGAGTTAGTTATACAGCACCCTCCACTAAGGATGTGCGCTTGGGCCCATCCCCCGCTACTCTGGGCTTCAATCCCAAGTGCAAACCCTTAGGATCTGTAACCCTGTAATTCCGGGATGGCCATTCCTTGTGTTCTGGAAGCCAGGGCTCCAAACTTTGACTTCATCCGCTGGTGGGGTCATGGTGTGGAGTGGGAGTCTCCCTCTCCCAAATTTCAGAATGATGTCTGGAGTTTAAGGAGTTCACAATAGTACTACAGTTGGAAATAAAGCCTTTACAGAGGTACTTAAGGTTAAGTGACAGAGGTAAGCTCTAACCCAACAGGACTGGCCTCTTTAAAATAAATAAACAAATATTGTAAGAAGAGAAATCACAGGGCTAGGAAGGTGGCAGCAGGAAGATCCCAGAGGCTCAATGTCAGTCAGATTTAGCCTGCTTGGCAAATGTCAGGCCAGTAAGAGAACTTGTCTCAAAACATAAGGTGGCCAGCACCTGAAAAATGATACCTGAACTTATTCTCTGCCCTCCTGATATACACACATGTATAGACCCCCTAAGCATACACAATCATACATACTTGAGCACATACATACAAGTGAGAAGCACTAGGAAGTCAGAGGGTCAGAGATACAGTGATGGTCAGCATCTTTCATCAGTGTTCTTGGTCTGTGTTCTATTCACGCTTCATCTCTCCTGGAAAGGGGCAGAGGTATCTGTGTCTCCTGGGACTCTGGTACTGCTGCAGTCCAAGCTTGAGGTTGCAATGACTTTTCTCAAACATTCATATTGAGGCTCAGATGTTGGCCTCAGCTTTTAGGCCAAATTCACCAGAATGGCCCATGGAAACTCCTGCATTGAGACAAGGGAAGGCATCTGCCAGGAAGCAATACCTCCTATACAATAAGCCTAGCAGCAAGGAAAAAGGTACACAGTAGAAAGCTTGCTATCTGGAAACCAAGCACAAAATCGATGGAGAAGCTGAAGGTCCTGTGCAGAAGTAAAGTAACAGTTCTGTCTGGAAATGCTAGTAAGGATGAAAAGCAGCTTAACAGAAGCCAAGGATCTGGATGTACAACCAAGATGAAAATGGTTTATTACCAGAAAGACTGGGATTTGGCTCACGGATAGAGTACTTGCCTGGCATGCATGAAGCCCTCGGTTCAATCTACAGGTATGGGGTACACATCTGTAATCTCAGCACTTGGGAAGAAGAAGCAAGAGGATCAAGTTCATCCCCAGTTTTATAGTGACTTCTAGGCCAACATGGGCTACAAGAGACCCTATCTCCAAAAAAAAAAGGCTGAGTCATAACTTGTCAATGACTATATAACTTGTCAATGGCAGTCATACTGAACCAGAGAAAAACAAATTTTTCAAATGATCCCAGATTGGAATTGCTGCTTGTCATGACCTCAATCAGAACCACACTAGAAGAAAATAGTAAGCCACTGTCACCAAATGTCCTTCCCAAAGCCTGTGAACCACCTGGTTTCCACTCTCCTTAATCCTTAAAATACATAAACAAGGGCATTTCAGCTGCTTGAAACACAGGCCTAACATGAAATACTCATGTCTGGTCTAACATGAGATACTAACGTCTGCATTTAGCTATAGTTACAGTGGCCATTTCCTTAGCTATAGTCACGGTGGTCATTTGTTCTGAAACAAATTCACTAGGGGCTTTGCCCAGAAAAACTGTTAGCTGCTGTAGCAATATAATCAAACTATATCCACTTGGTTTATTCTATGCCATGTGCACTGTAATGATAGTTGTAGGGTCGCTTTCACAATTGTACTTGAGTGTAACTATTCTTTACTAAGCATCCTTTAAATTTTATGTGTATTTATGTGTGCCTGAGTACATTATGTATACCACATGTATACAGCTGCCCACAGAGACCAGAAGAGGGCACTGGATCACTTGGAACTGGAGTTGTGAGCTATCAGATGTGGGTGCTGGGAACAGAAGCCAGGGCCTCTGCAAGAGTAGCAATTGCACTTAACCACTGAGCCAACTCCCCAGCCCCTTAGTATCTTTAAATGATCCCATTTAAGTTGGATTTGGGGAATGGTAAAGGAATCAACTTTTTCTAATGCTGTTGAGGGAAAATAAGAGTTTTGACTGCATAGACTTCCCTGGAGGGAATCAGATTATAAGCATCCATCTCAAATATGCCAGGTCCAAAATTAAGGTGGACATTTGAAAGTTAAAAATGTTTAAGAACATCCAAGCCAACACCATAATGTATACCAAAAGGACATGCAGCTTGTTCTTAATTGATAGCTGCATCTTCCCAAGTCACACAGTGGAGAATATGGGAAGGGCATGTGGGCTTATAAGAATGAGGTTCAATAGGAGTCCCAGTGGCCTTATTTCTTAAATGCAGTGACTAGGCATCTGCCAAAGCTAAACTAAACTCTTTTATAATATTCATTTTATTTTTACTTATATGTATGTGTGGGTATCTGTATGTATGTGCACATAAGTACAGGTGCCCAAGAGGGCCAGAGGGGGACATCAGATACCCAGGATCTGGAGTATAGGTATTTGTGAGCCACCATGAGAGTATTGGGAACAGAACTTGGGTCCTCTGCAAAATCAGTGAGTGCTCCTAACCACTGATCATCTCTCCAGCCCCTGTCCCCTCCCCCACTTTTTTTTCAACTGAAATAGCTTTGAAGATCATTCAATAGATTTCAGGAAATGCTTTTTGAGATGTAGCACCCATCATCTATTCTGATAGTGATCTGGCTCCAGGTCATTGTGACAAAGTCTGCTTAGAGTAGACAGTTGAGTGTTAAGAACACTGTAAGTACCTACAGAAGAAGGAGCCATATTAATGCATTTAATTCTTGAAGCATATGGACTTTACCCTGGAAAATAAAAGAAATTATTTTAGTATAAGTTTGCTGAATGTAAGAACATGGACTGTTTTCTACACTGTAGCCTCATTTTTTTTTTTTTTTTTTTTTTTTTTTTTTTTTTTTTTAAAGATTTATTTATTTATTATGTATACAGCATGTATGACCAGAAGAGGGAGCCAGATCTCACTAGGTGGCTGTGAGCCACCATGTGGTTGCTGGGAATTGAACTCAGGACCTCTGGAAGAGCAGTCAGTGCTCTTAACCTCTGAGCCATCTCTCCAGCCCGTGTAGCCTCATTTTATATCTCCTTTTATATCTTCTGTTTTATAAGTTTGCCCTTGGGCTAGAATATCAATGTACATATGTTATAAATGATGTGGTCATGAACTATATTTTAAAGTAAATCCTAGTATGATTTTAAGAAACAGAAAAGAAAAGCTAACACACAGAGGGAAGAACATGTGAGTAAGGACATGGGGAGAAGTCAGCCATCTGCCACCCAAGGAATGAGGCTCAGGAAGAATCAACATGTAGATACCTGGGACCTCTGGCCTGCTGAATTGTGAGGAAATAAATTTTTGCTGTTTCTTACAGTCTGTTATAACTAACAGTGTTTCTTCCACTGTTATGACAGCCCTTGCAAACTTACGCAGTGCGAATCCAGAACTTCTGTAAAAGCCAATAGTTCATCAGTAGATGTTGAAATAATGCCACCAGGGCTTAGAGAGTACTTCCTGTGGGCACGTGTGTGACAAGCCTGTCATCTGGCAGCATGAAGAGTCCTGGTTACATCCAGTCTCTGACACAGAGTACTTTTCTGAGAATCACAATGCCTATGGAGAGGTAGCCAGCACTTGGGAGCAGGCAGTAAGATGGGTAATACTGTCAACTTGACATATCTAGAATCTCCTAAGAAACACACCCCCAAGAATTTGATTTCATTCATTGAGGTCTGAAGACCAACTGTAAAAGCACCGTCCCCTGCACACATGAAAAGGAGAGGGAGCTGAGTCTCAGGATTCCTGGTCCTCTGCCTCCTGACTGTGGATATAGTATGACCATCTGCCTCTGACTCCTGCTGCCAGGACTTCCCCACTTAGATGCACTGTCCTGAATCCTAACCCAGTACCAGATCAGCCCTTTCTCCCTCAAGCTGCTTTTGTCCGGACATTTTATCAGGGCAATGAAACTACAACAGAGACAGACAATGAGATCAGTTCTCCAGCCTTCCCTCAGCCCAGGATGTGTGAACTGAGCTGGCAAATAGGTTAACACAAAAATGGCCAAACACAGCCACATTCTGAAGGCATTGTATGAAAACTAAAGAGACAAGTGGCCAGTTCATTAGTGTGAGGACTAGCAAGCCAATGAACAGAGTTGACACAGGCTGGGACAGATTCTGCCCTAATTATTAGTTACGATTTTCTTGTGGTTATTAGTGAGTCCTTTCATTAACTAGGTGACAGCCCCATGCAGACAGAAAACTATGGTGCATAGACCAACTGGCTCAAATTCACTGCATCCTTCAACACCTTCTTCCAGCTCAGAATTTTTCATCTTAAAACAACAGCAACAGCAACAAAAAAAAAATTGTATGATTTTTTTAAAGGCTTGGCCTTCATGGTTTCTTCCCTTATAGAACTAGAAAAGGGATACTCCAGGGCCTTCCCTCCACCAGGAGATTTGTAATTTGCTCTCTCACTTGGTCCTTGAAGCATCTCTAGGAAGGACACATTGTTGAGTCCCATTTACTTCGGAGAAACAGAGCCTGTGCTCAGGTCTCTGCTTTGTTTGCAACACGTCACAATTTGGCCTGCTAATGAAAGAGAGGATGCAGCATGATGTTATAATGACATCCTAACAGCATCTCAGTCAGATCACAAGCCATCCACTGGCTGCCTTGGAAGTAAGGAGCTGTCAACTGAGGCCACCTGTATACCCCACCAAAAGCACCTAACAAACTGTTCCAATTACTGGATCCTGGTGCCTGTGTTAGTTCATAAGTCTCTCTTCTTTGCACCCTCTGGACAGGAGTTTCCTTTTCAGGCATCTGTCGAACATTTACATATATGCACTTATGCACAGGTACTATGGAGACACGGAGTACTCAGAGCCACCCTGTGAGGCAGGTGCTGCTCTCATTTCTAGATGGTGACAGTGAAGCACAGAGACAGTAAGTAAACAGCAGTCCTGGGATTTACACTCCTTAGAAAACACCTTGGTTTTTCATTCACTCTCCGCTGCTTGACAACAGCCCCCAAGCACTGCAGGTAGAGAATGGGCAACACCTACTTGGAGCTTACTGTGTGTCAAGCATCTTGAGAGAAACTCCGCAACCTACAGAGATTCTTCCCGCTGCTGTTGGAAAGTGCTGAGCCTCGCACTCAGAATGAGATGGTCCCATGTGCCTTCCGCAGCCTGGCCCCTTTGCCTTACTGAGGAACTTCTCATCATTAAGAGAATTGGAAGAATCAGATTCAGAAAGCTCTGCTAAAATGCATGACATCCCAGCTCTTCCATCTGTGCTCAGACAAAGAGCATCATCGGCCACTTCAGCAGGAAACACATGATGAGAAAGAGGGCTTCTGGGGACAATATCCACTTCATCTTGTTTTTATCTATCTTGTGGGCTTTGTAATGGCACAGGAAGACAGTAGCTCCTAACTCACAGGAGCTATCTGAGTGTGAGATGACATGATATAAATACCATGGTAGGTACACAGAGGCAGGTGCTTATGAAGTATCCAGTCTCATCTGAACTGACACGGGAAAGCCCTTTCCTTGAGACTGTGTACCTCAGGCAAAGGCAAACACCATATCACAAGGGCTACAAGAAGCACCTGGGCCAGACCCAGGGAAGGCTCTACCTGTCTGCCCTCCTCACCAGCACAAAGAGCAAGCAAAACCATGTGTCCCCAAAGCAAAAAACTGGGAGGTCATTCAATTGGTCAGGAAGACAGAAATCCCTATTTGGTTTCAGATTTAGGAGTACTCATTGCATTAATATTCCAAATGTACTACCACAAGTTTCCACAAACTGAAAGGCTAAGAACAAGAGAAATTTGTCTTCTCTCAATTCTGGAGAAAAAAAGTCTGAAATCCAGGTGCCCCAAGGGAGACACTTCAGCCACCCTTGGCATCCTTGGCCAAGTGTCTGCCTCATGGGAAACACCTGCTTCTCTCTGAATAGAATCTCACTGACACGTGATAACCTGGGGTGAGCTCTTCCCCTCAAGAGTATATTTTACCAAATAAAATGCTATTAACACTTTCAACACATAGGGTAATGAGCATAGACTCCAGGTCACAAACATGACTGTATTGAAGGTGCAATATTTAGCTCAAGATGCCTGGTTATTCACTGACTGGACCAGCAACCATGTCATGGCTACCCAGGTTACAAGACTCATCCATGCTTCTCTATGCAGGTACCTGGGCAGCAGTGAGTTTCTAAAAATGATGGTAGATGTTTACCTGACAACTTAAGCTTTTAAGACTAAAAGACAGGTTAACAGTAACCCATATGTTTCTCCCTCACCTCCCTGACTTCTTCCTTATCCTCCCCTGTAGCTCCTCGATTACCTTTCTCTGTCTCTGTCTCTGTCTCTGTCTGTCTCTCTCTCTGTGTCTCTCTCTGTCTCTGTCTCTGTCTCTCTCTCTGCTTTCTTGATAAGGAAAAAAAGGAAACAACTTGCATATAGGACAGACACAAAAGAATTAAACAGACTTTAGTATCTAATATTAGGACATTTGACATTCGCTGTTGCCCTGGGTGGGGGGAATCTAAGATAAAAATAGGAGCTTAATTACAGTCTTTTCTCCCAGCCGTTTCAGGCAGCATTGCAGCTGTGGGTACAGCACTGGAGCCACCAAGAAGGGACAAGATTGTGGTTTGTGGCACCTGCCTTGCTTCCTAATAGCGTAGTCTCATAGAAACTACCCATGGAGTAGACTAGTGAAGCTATTGGTATCAGATTATTTGCCCTTAGCTGTCTGTGAGCCTGTTCACCGGACAGCTCTCATTTACTGACCCTCGCTGTGTGCTGAAACATAGGGAAGGCTTTCTTCCAAACGTCGTCCATGCATAAGCTCCATTAATGCTCACAAAGAACCCCGGAAGCAAGTCCTAATGTCACCACCACTCTTTGTAGACAGAGAAACTGAGTGTAAGAAGTTGGCCTCAGGTCACACAGCTAGTTGCTGGCAGGACACCCAGGCATAGAACTCTTGGCCTTCATTTTTGGTGACCTCATAAGTAATCCATCCAAGTCATGGGGGTGAGAAGGCTGGGATGGAGAAGGAAGGACCTTGAGGTGGGTGGTCTGACTGGGCAAATGCTGAGGACAGGAAACTTAAGAGCTACTACACCACTGTGGTCCACTAGGCTCACTGTGGTCCACGAGGCTCACTGTGGTCCACAAGCTCTTTGATTCCCCATTGTCATGTCCTTGTGCTTCTCACTCATCCTTCAATTGCTTGTTTGCTACATCCTCAAAAACAAGACAGGAAAGAAGGAAGGAAGGAAGGAAGGAAGGAAGGAAGGAAGGAAGGAAAAAAAGAGCGAGTGAGCCAGACATGGTGGCTGATATCTGTAATGCTAGCCTCGGAGGCAAGATGATCACTGAAAGTTCAAGGCCTATCTGGGCTACAGAGTGAGCTCCAGGTCAGGCTGAACTAGAGGGTGAGACCCTATTCCAAAACACCACCACCAACATCACTTTCTAACACGTCTCTCTACAGGGTCAAAATTATGAAATCATTCACATTCCCTGAGTAACATACAACAGCTGAGCTGCACTCCAGGAACCAGATGTGCTCAAAAGTGTTCACTTTGCTTTCTGTGTTTCAGATGTTTGATTCTGTGGAAGACATCATCGAACACTACAAGTATTTTCCCATTATACTAATAGATGGAAAAGACAAGGCTGGTGTGCACAGGGAACAATGCTACCTCACCCAGCCACTGCCTTTCAGCAGGCGCTTCCTGACTCAGTACTCTAGCCAGGCACTTCATGAGTAAGCAGCCCAGCCAGCTATTTCCACATCGACATCCTGGACCTTATCTCATCCTTGGCCCAATGGAGTCAGTGCTTCTACCATCTGCATTTGTCTCAAATTATATTGTCTGTGTCTTCAAGGGATGACTTTTTTGACTCTGTAAAAAAAGAAAAATACTCTGCAATGGAACTTGAGAGCTCAATTATGCCTTGAAAGCTTGAGTCACAGAAGCCATCTGTGCAACATGAAAAATAGCAAACCTAGGTTTTGAAAATAATTTTCTAAACAGAAAACTACAGACATGGCTATCATGCATTAGCAATGAGTAGCTGATACAACAAGATCTGACAGCTTCAATGTCTGCAGCAGGTGTGAGATCTCCAAACTGCTACTCGGTACAGGTCATCAGGCTGACGTTCTTTCAAAACCTCTTGCCCTAGGATGCTAATTTTTGGATGGTCCTATATTCTAAAGATGACAGTGAATGTTAACTGAATTTATCTGTAATCCTAGAAGTTCAAATACAGGGAAGAGATGTGGCATGAGGAAAAAAGCCCTGGTGAATACCAGCTTGAAGATAGAGAAGAAATATGCGGACTGTGATGTGAAATGGCCACAGAGCCAGACTTCAGCCTACTCTATGAACAGTGACTTCAATGGAACTAGCAGATCCATAGCAAGGAACACAGAGCTCATCCGAACCATAAAGCAAGCATTCATTTGAGTGACAGTGAAAATGTTTTGAATAGTTTAATGATGCATTTCCATTCACAGGAAGAGAAGAACTGTCCTCAAAAGAGTACTGATGCTTATAACAGCATAGCACATCATGATATTGTCTCTTCTCAGGCAAAAAAGATTTGCATGTTCTCCTACTTCATAACACAGATGAGGTAGGGTCATTCAAAGGTCTCATTTAGTATAAGAAGTGAGCCTGGACTATAACCCATCTTGCCTGTTCCATGACACTGCATCAACTCAGATATACTCTCTACTCTATGGACTTTTATAATTGAGCTATGAACTTTTATAATTAAAGCTACACTTTAAAAATACATATTTATCCCCCTTAAATCCTTGTAGTACAGTAACTTCACCAAAATAAATAAATAGTTATAACATATGCCAGGACATCAATTTTCACCAAATACCACATGTAAATTTCATAGAGCATTTATGCAATTTATGTTTTCATGGAGAAATAAAACCAGCCAGAGGACAGGAGATGTAGTTGACAGAAAGCATACCTAGCCCTGGGTTAAACCCCCAGCACTGTATAAAACCAAGTGTGGTGGTACACACTTATAATCTCAGCACATGGGAGGTAGATGCAGGAGGATCAGAATCTCAAGGTCATCCTTGACTGTAGAGCAAGTTCAAGGCCAGCCTGGATTACATAAGACCATGCCTCAAGAAGAGAGAAAGAGAATGAAAGGGCAAGAAAATCAAATGAAAAGGGAACAAGCAATTTCTAGCATTATCTCTTTTGTAAAATGGCAGCAGGCAAGGTGCTATCTGTAGTAAGACCAGAGTTTGACCATAGTCTAGAGCGTAATGCTGAGCAGAAAGGGCCAGGTCCTGATGCCTCTTCATGCCAACTCATTGTCTGGATACTTGAGCTTTGAGTTCTGTAACAGATACAGAAAGTACCTATCCACTGAATTGCTGGTCAACATACCTGTGTTTACTATTTCCAGTGTCTGTTACAATAAGGGTATTTTCTTGCAATCGATGACTAAAGAATAGCATATGAAAAAATGAATGTATTTGATTCTTACAACAGATACTTCTAACACCTTGGCTAGATCTTATGATGGCATATTTGTGACTAAAGCAGGGACTGGGAAATACAGTTCTTCTCTTCTCTGTGTGTTGGTTTTATTGGATGCCTAGCTGATAATTCAGTGATGAGTAACATGCTAAAGTGTTTTGAGCTTTCCAACTATTATCTCATTTTCCATTTTAAAAATGTCACTTGATACCTAGCCTCAGTAGGACAATGGAATTTCAGCTTCATCTGATTATAGCATCTGTGAATTCCAGAGATTTCTCTTGGAGCACATATCCATACAGAGTCTGAATCTGTGTCTTCTCCAGTTATCATGCAGCATTGTCAGAGTCCTTGTGCATGCTGTATATCCTTGTTGCTAGGTGCTGTTGTAGTTGTTGGAAACATTGGAGTGAGTGAGAGAGACAGACACGGAAGTGTACAAATAAACAGGTAATCCGGGTTAGGTTCCCATTACTCTTTTGTTTCTCCATTTTAGTATACCACTGAGATCTTTGGGGTGAGTAAAATGTTAAATATTTTAAGACATTTCTTTAAGGCGACTTGAAAGATTTCCTGAAACCAGAAAATATTTCACTAACTTAGTTGAGAGAAGACTTTTCTTCCTAGAGAGAAAGCTTGGGGATGGGGAGAGGGGAGAGACTGATTAACTAAAATTATATCTGTAAGCAGGTTAATCCATTCTAATTAATATAAAAAAGTCCAACTTAACACATTGTCAGATATAGTTATTATCATGTATGTGAACATAAATAAGTTTTAAAGATAGCCTATACTATATATGATTCACATTATGCTTGTACACCTATTGTTTTAGCCTTGGTAATATGTGTTCTAGCTAAGCACATCTGCCTTTTAATATTTGAAGTTTACAGATTGTTAAATGAAAGCAAATGTGTAACTCGATGTTGTGACATTCTCTGTAACTGAGTGGCGAAGATTAGAATTCAAAGCATAGTTTAATTTTCTTTGTTTCATGTGCTATTGCCCCTAAAGTACTTTTGACTCACACTTAGGGCAAAGTGAAGAAGTATTTCTAGAACAATTATTGGCATATGAGTACTATGCTAGGTTCTAGGGATAAAGAAGAAGGGGACACAAGCCATGTGACTCACAGCTCAGAGCAGGCCAACTGTTGTCAAATTAGGCAAAAAGCAAAAAAAAATAAAAGCACAAGAATTAGCAAGGGAGGTGGGTCAGCTTGGAACTTGGCCTGCTGAGAGGAGCATCGAATGGTACCATCACTTAGAAGACAGTAGAGTCTCTTCAAAAGTGAAAGAAGAAATGCCATTAGAGTCAGCAGGCCAACCCCTGTGTGCCTCTCTGGAAGTACTGTGGAGGAATCTTGAAGAGCTGTCTGCATGTCTATGTTTGTTGTAGAATTTTTCACAACAGCCAAAATTTCAAAAATAAGATCAGCCTAAACATTCATCACTGGATAAGAAAACACATGTCACAAGGAAGGGTCATCAGTCTTCACAAGAAAGTACTCTACGGCCATGATAAAGAAATGTGGCCATGGGTGAAAGCATGGCATGAAATGGACGGGCAGTATCCACGTTAATGTGCACCAAGCTTTGGTTGTACTAATTGAATAACTATAAAGATGTGCTTTACAACACCATGCCTCTGGTCAACAGTCATGTATTAGACACCTAAAATCAGATTAAGAGTGGGTCTCATGTTAAATATTCTTACCACAAAAGGAGGGGGTGGGGAAGTTTGGGAGGCATTGATATGATTATTACCTGTATTGTGGTCATGGTTTCAGAAATGTATGCATAGCTTCAAGTATATCCAGATGTACACATTACATATTCCCATGTTTGTCCCCCCCCCCCCCCCGCCGCCATACCAGCTATACTTCTACAACACTATCTTTTAAAAAGAAGTATACAAGTTAACAAATTCATGCAAGACAGAATAATTGATTTATAAGTTCCTTCCTTGTCTGTCACTACACAGGTTGGAGGGAGCAGATTCATGGGGAGGTGTGGCCAGGGAAGACTTTGCAGAGATGGTTAGGGACTTGAAGAGTGCCCCTAGAAGATAGCGTTGGGAACTGCCTAGTCCATGTGGGGATCTTGTGTCCTACAAGCACTATCCTGGGCTGTGGGGAGTCAAAGAGTGATCACATGTTGAAGGGTTAGATGAAGACAATAGAGGCAGCATCCTCGGGGAAGGGACCGGTGATTCATTAAATATTTCTAAGAAAACTGGCTCTCTGGATAGAAAAAGAAAAAAAAAACGTGTAATTATTTCTCTCCTTCAAGTCATAACAAAATATGTTCTGTATAAATCAAATAGCTGCAAGCAAAGTCAGAATTGAGTCCTGTACTCTCATCTAATAATTTTTATGACTTTGGGATAGAGAAGGTGCTCTTAAGCAAGATGAAAACATAAATCAGAAAGGGAAAGATTGATAGATTCATTACATCCAAACTGCAAATGTTTGCAAAAGTCAGGCAAAGCCAAAAGGCAATTAAACAATATGACACATGCACACAAAGGGCACAAACAACTCAGAGAAAACACTCCAGGCCTGAAAGGTAAGACATGTAGCCTTGCTGAGTGTGGGGTTGCCTGAAATGGGCAGCTGGAGTTATCAGTGTTAGCCTAGAACAGTGGTTCTCAACTTCCTTAATGCTGCGACCCTTTAATACAATTCCTCATGCTGGAGTGATACCCAACCATTTAAATGATTTTTGTGGTTACTTCATAACTGTAATTTTCTACTGAATGTAAATACCTGTGTTTTTCGATGGTCTTAGGTAACCCCTGTAAAAGAGTCATCGATCCCAAAGGGGTCATGATCCACATGTTGAGAAACACATGCCTAAAAGCAGTTAATGCAAGAAAAATACAAGCTGACTTCCAGGATAATACTCTGGAAGGACTGAGGAGTTTGATATAGTGACTCGGCATTAAATGCAGGTAAAAGGGCGAGAGTAAAAAGACGATCTACAATCGTTAAGAACCCATTCTAACCAATACTTCCTTGACCAGAATCAGGGGTTAACTAAACCAGCCTAGCTGTGGTGGCCATTGAGAGAAAACAGATGCAGGGAACGATTGAAATTAGGCCTCTAAGGTTCAATGGCAACTATGAGTGCTGGACAATGAGGCTTAGGGGAAGTCCTCCCTGCTTAAGGGGCCCTAGCCTTTGGTAAACACCAGGTTCTCATGAAGAGGAAAAGAATTTCAACCATGAACCAAGAGAACAGAATTCTGCT